GTCTTTGGAGATGTATTGCCGTTTGTTTCCCCGTAATCTGTTCGCGAAAAAGCCGCAACCTCTGGAATGTCCTATAGCTTCCTATTCTCACAAACTCTCCTTTTGGAACGTAGCTGTAGGGCAGGCGTTCGTTCCGGATTACATTCTGTGTTTTTTCGACGACTCCTTCCTACTCTTCATAGGTATGTAGATGTGAAGCATTGGTTCTTGTCATTTCTGGAACGCTTTGAGCCGACTTTGAAGGCAGTTGGCACTATAATTTCGGTACTCATCCTGAAATGCGAGCAGGGCGCTATATATGGGAAAATGGCGAAGAACCTAGTTAAACGGTCGAAAACCTGCAAAGAAAAGCCTTCGATCTTAATGACTCAAAACACGATTTCAGACGAGTTTTCCGTAGGCATCTTACCAAGACTAGTTACGGTAGGTACGCCGTCTGATGTACTCATATATATCCATGCAGCATCGCAGCCGCTTCATATCACTCCCTTCGCTTCAACTTGTACTTAGCAAGTGAAGCAATACGAGCACCTACGGCCGTCCATGCGAGCGGGCGTGGTGCGTGTACGGGGCGGTATGCTGTAGCTTGACAGAGTCATTACAAGGGTACCTTCTTTGGAAAAGGCGCTCTGCAGCGCCTGCTCAGGGTCGCGGAATTCCGTCCTGCCAGGCGTATTGATCCTACTCGTCTTAGGGATTTATCGTGCCAACTGCCTTTAACAAATTCGAACAGCTACGTGTTCCAGTCCATGTTAAGAGCACACGGAGGAATTGTCCCCTTTCACTTCCCGCTGCCTTCCTTTGTGGTTGATGAGGGACCTCATCACTCCCTTTTCTTTTCGATTTTTGCGCCGATAGCGTCAGACCTCCCAACATGATGACGCCATTCGGAAGATGTCTAAATTATTCACTGTGTTGATGACATCGGGGGATGAAAATCACGAAACCTCACCAGTCCCGTAGGGATACATCACAAAAAAGCCTAAATATTGCAGTCCAGACATTTTGAACCTTCTTTCGGGAGCAGGCGTTATTCAGATGAGGTTGAATCGAATGTGCTCCCATGTGGAAATATAGAAAGAATAGCAATTTCGATGGAAAATGCGAGCAGTGGAACTCTGGGATACCATGCTGATTATTTTCGCTGCCAATAGACTCAGCTTGTTCTATTTTGCCCTTCATGTCCTCGGCAGCCCATGAATAGGCGACCTCCAAATGCATAGGGCACCAAAATGCAAAGTGCCTACAACATTCAAGTAAAATGTTGCAATTTCGCTTACTTGTGAGCCGCTGAACAGTTTTTGGCTGTCTGAAATGGGGTCAAATCGAATGGAGGCCTCATTTGCCTTGTGGGAATTACGAGCAGTTCCAGGAACACAAGGAAGCTTGAATGATGTGTGGGAGCAATTTGAACAGTCTAGTTGAAACATCTGGGAACACGAAACTGTTACCGTCTGAATAGCGATAAGGTGGCGCAGAAGAGGCCTGCTCTTCCATGTATTCTATATTCACCAAACCAACGGTACCTTCCATAAATCCCCATTTTGTGACAGGTTTTTTCTATCCGTTTGGGAATCCGCGGCCCACCGACAGGAAGAAAGAAGGCCTTCATTATTTGAGAGTGGGTGTTTCTAACTGTGCAAGGAGCCTGTCAAGGATTCGATTGGTTCTGCTCTCTTATGCTGTTGTCTAGTTGGCCCATTCGAAGTATTTACTGTTTTCATGAGTGAAAATGGCACTGAAAACCTTAAGGAGCGAAATTTGAAGGGCGCATTGTACAAAATAGGAGTAAAGTCATCCGCATAGAATTACCGTAGATTAATTCGATCCACCCACTTTGGAGAATCTCGCTGTTCAAGCTAGTGTGAAACTCCTAGTCTCGTAAGTTTAGTTTCGCACCAAAGGTCCCTTAAATGTAACCTCCTAGGTTATTAATGTCAACGAGCTCAGGGCTCAAAAGTGTAGCTTGCTATACTCACATTGATGTGGGAGACATCACAATTTCCTTCTTTGTCTATTTATTTTTTCACTGTTTTCAATTATTCACTTTTATCCATTTTATTTTTAGATCCCTTAGAATTTGTTTTCTTCAGAGTTGAGCGGCCAAGATGAAAACAGCGACCCGGAAGTGGAAGAATACATCGAACGAATCGTACGTGAGGAAAATCCAGGTGAATGAGGCTTATTTCCTTGTCTTGTCAAGCTATCGGTTTTGCAGCCGTTGAAGATTTACCGCTCTCTCCTTACTCTATCGATCTATCGATTTTTTTGCAATTATTGTAGATCTCTCACAACTCTCTGATGAACAATTGAATGAACTAATTCGTCGTCTGTTCATTCTGAAGAACAACCTTTCTGACGGAGATGGTGCCGATGCTGATCAAGGTGAGATTTAGCCTATATAATTCACATACTAGTAAGTCGTTTTCCGGATGTTCAACTATCAGTTTGCTTTTAATCGGTACCTAAGCGTGTTTCTTCCCTGACACCCCAAAAACGTGAAGGGAAGCAGTCCATCAAGCGAATTTGTGCTGTAGGACGATCCAGCCGCTTCCTGCTCGGACTCGTCTCGATGTTGATAAACATCCCAAAGCAGTTTTTTTTCCTGGGAACGCCTGCTATAACTGGTTTGTTGCCCAGCGCAGATTCAATCTTCGCTCTAAACTTATCCCTGAATGGACCCCAAATTGAATACCTTGTTGCAAGATCCGTGGGCCGCCCGGTAATGTCTTATGTCAGGGTTCTCTACTGCTGTATCATCATAAGAAACGACCTATCAAGAAGCTGGTCTGTAGCAGGGTGAATTTATGACCTGTTTGGAGTGAGCTGTGATTTTGATCGCGGCTCGAATCGTTGAGACGACATGGTGTATCACACTGTATGATTACTATAGACTATATGATTATACTAGACTCCGGGACAGCACCATACTCTGACTATATGATTTGTAACAACTGCTAGGGATAGCAGGCTGGACTACCTCTTTTAACCAGTTTACTTTCTCTCTCTATTTCCCCTCTCTCTTCTCTCTCTCTCCTCACTCTCTCTCTTTCTCCCTCTCTCTCCCTCTCTCTGACAGGTCGAACTCCAGTTGTCGCTTGCTGACTGAAAACTATGGACGCTTGCAGGACCCTGATCTATAAATGCGACAAAGCACTTCGAACCACTCTGCCACAGCTGATCATTCATTGCAGCGTTGAGGACAAATCCATCCAAGGGTGATCTTGGGAGCCAAGGAAAATCACGTCTTTGGTAGAAAAAAATTTTCCTCAATACCATGCCCTTTGAGGCGGAAGTATTGTAGTGGCAAGTGGCACGCTTACCATGGCATGGCCTGGGATCAAATCCTGAAGCGGCTACCGCTCAGAGCAACCGAATCTTCTACCCTGTGGGAACGGTAAATTGATAGCAGATTCGTCTGGGAACATAAAATACCGACTTTTACATCGGCTGCCTCCGCAAGGCAAACGGGTTCGCAGCTGCAGCAGTAGTGTGCCACTTTCCCTTCACAAAGTGCACGGGAACAGGGTTGGAGGCTAGCTATGCCGGGATACAGTCCCATACCTCGCGCGCAAAGCCACACTGCCAATTACACAACATAGCCGAACTTGCCTGCACCCTCGCGTACCTGGCACGAACTAACACTGTCTTGCAGCCGCTGCTCGTATTCCTTTGAGCTGCCGCGTTCTATTAAATCGAAGTGAATGAATAGAAGTTCAGCCATGGGAGCATCAGGCCAGCAGTCAACACAAGGCAGCAAGACTGCTAGTTGTAGCGTCGTCTACCAGGTGGGATATAACGGCATATGTACCAAGCCTAAGACGGACAAAATCAGCTATCATTAAATCTAACCAGGTCAAAACTACGTTTTTCCCAGCAATTTAATACCACCAACAACGCGGATTCTACAGCGGCGATGATGTTGAGCCCGATGGGATTTAATGAGAAGTGGGCCACTAGGATATTGCTTGCTATTGCTTCGCCAGAGCTCCAGATTGGAGACGATGAAATGAAGTTTTCATGAATTCTGGAGCACGACTTGTTTGTTTGCTGCCAGGAGTTTGATCTGACAATTCGCCCTCGGGCATCATCTGCATGAGGAAGGTCTCGGTCTAGTTGCCCACTGGAGAGCTTATTTCAGTCCGGATTTGATAGAAAAAAATTGCCACATGTTTTGAATTGCCATGCGAGAATGGACTGCGATCAATCTACGGCTTCAAGCAATTAGCAATGTCACACGGGTCCTGTATTGGAATAATAAATAGATCCTAGGGAAGACATAGGGATTCAGAAAATGAGACGAATCCTTCTTCTAAAGCGGAATTGTTCATTTTCATCCGATTGAGTACCTAGTACAGTTTTGTACGTGTCAAAGGGCTCAGTGGAGTGGCAAGTGCATTCTCACAAATGAATTTGATAGGGAATGAATTTAGAAAGCTGAGTAATGGATATCGAATGCAGAAATAAAAACTGAAAACTTACTGAATGCTCAAAAATATGCATGGGACGGAGTTGGGTGTAGTGGCATATGTTAATCACGCGCTAAGTTTGCAGGCCAT